ACTTTGCAAACTGCTGGGCTTCAGTATAATAAAAATGAAAGGTAAAGATATGTCATATTTTGGAAGTTTGAGTTTTAAAAAAATGTGCATTACTAACAAGTAATTAATGGGTTAACCCTTTAGCTTTTTGATAGAGCTGAGAAAAATAATGAAACTGAAATCAGTACAATATTAAGTTCTTAGGCTTATAACATATTAATACTAGAAATAAATGACCTCATAACACCAAAGTGTTGTTATTATTTAACCCTTTCAAGATGGGTTACAGGTGAAAGGCCATGTCATCTCGTTTGTTGACTCGTATGTTATTGAACTACTATTTCATGAATTTATGTCATTAAGTTTGGGATCAAACTACAGATTATAATTCAAATTTTAAAACAACACATTATCCAATTTGTTAATTTAAAAGTAAATATTAGAAAAAACAGACAAACATGATTTTTGTGTGTCACGTAGTATGTTGAATGCAGCACTGGTTCAAATTAATGTTGACTTGCATTCAAAGTTTTATTGAACTACTATTTCATGAATTTATGTCAGTAAGTTTGGTATCAAACTGTAGATTATAATTCAAATTTTAGAACTATACATTACTCAATTTCTTAATTGAAAAGTAACAATAAAAATACACAGATAAACATGATTTTTGTGTGGTATGTTGAATGCAGCACTGGTTCAAATTAAATGTTTGTGAATTCAAAATACTAAATCTATAGTTTCATACAAATTAGAAACTCAAATTACAGATATTGAGAAGCTAGAATATAAAATAAGGTTTTATCTTTTCTATTTGCTAAGATATTGTTCATGTAATAAATCAAACACAGTGGCACCCCATTCACCTCCTTCCAATTTTGGAAATGCTCCCTTATATACACTTATTTCTATATATAACATGAATAACCAATCAAAAGCTCAGAATACCCCCCTAGTGATTTTTCAGCCTTTCTAATGTGGCTAGCACCAGTTGTTTCTTTTGAAACCAAGATTTCAATGAGTTAGGTTGTGTCTTTAGTCAGGTTGAAATTTCATATTTTTTTTAGAGTAAAATATGTCTTAGTTACTAAGCTTGATAAATTATAGTTAAATTCTTTAGGATTGATGAAGTAATTTATGATTTTTAGTTACTCAAATATTTATATATATATATATATATAATACCTAAAAAAACTATTTTGTTTTATATCTTCCACATGCAAAATTTTAAAAGGCTTAGCAACCTATGTTGAGCAGCAACTGAGTACAAAGGTCATAACAAGAAGAGATAATTGTTTGCTTTACTTCTTCATTTACTGTTCTATCTTTTAGAGAAAATATGTTTAAGAACTTATTTCAAAATAGCAATAATCTATATATACATATATAATGTATAATAATTGAAATGTGATTAGTCGACTAAAACACAGCAAAGACAAGTTACTTTGTACAAACCAAAGGTCAGTTTTATGTTATTTGATACAGTATTTGATGCATATGCACCGCATCATTGTAACTTCTGTACTGTTAGTCAGGCATGGATGAAAGGTCAATATAATAAAAATAATAGATATATAATGTTATGAGATTTAAGCTATTTTGTCTAAACATATATGTGTTTGTGTTCATTCTAGAATGAAAGTAGCATAATTTATGTTTATTTCCTAATTTTTTATGGTGGTTGTAAGATAGTTCAAATCTACTGAACCTGTACAGAGACTATTTACTGAAAATAACAGATAAAGTATAAAGTTTTTTCTTAAGAAACATTTGTTAACAATCCGGACATTATAAAAATTTCACATATGAAATTTCAAAAGTTTCTGATGCGTAAAAGTATTTTTAATGTTAAAATGAAAATTACTTTGCATGATTCATCGGCAAGATGTCAAAAGAAAAAAAAGGCATGAGAGAAACATTGCTTTACAAACCTTAAGAATTAATAAAAAGATTAGATATTTTGCATTGTAATGTTTACTGATAAACTGCCAAATTTCGTTAACTTTTGCTTACCAACTTAAAAGTTATAGCATGAAACTATAACAAGCACAAAATGGTTACAAGGTCATCACATTGACTGACCCCATAGTGAAAGACTTAATTAGACACTCAACATTTTGCTTTATAGCTTCTTCAGGAGTGTTCACTAAAACACAAACCAAAATTGACAGTACAGAGCTTCAAATCTTGATGCCACTTGTCAAGTGCCATTGTTTCAAAAATGTGCATAAATATTACGGCATAAATAACAGCAACTCTATTACCCATATAGACACCACTGAGTTGGAGATATAGTTTGTTGTTAAAATGAAAATATCCATCATGAAGGATGAAATTTAAGATTTTTCTGACAGTGTCAATTGTCAATCCGTACATCTCCAAATTGTTTGTGATTTGGCATGAATTCACACACTGCATTGATGCTATCCTCTGTTTGTATAGATGGGTAGAGAGCTACAACGTCCAATGTAAAGAGTATTGTTGTGTTGATCCCTAAGGGAGGTACATCCTTGATTCACGATAACAGGTCTTTATTATTTAAGTGTGCTGTAACGTAATTCAGTAATAGCACCAAAATTTTATGCAAAAGCCAAGACAGACTTTTTGTGTTATATCATGTTTATATTCTTTTGCCATAATATTTATGCACGTTATTGAAACAATGGCACTTGACAAGTGGCATCAAGATACTAACCCTTGGCCCTGGTCTTTGGTTTAGATACATCGATAACATGTTTGGACTAGAGAACCACGGTCTTCCTTCTTTAATATAATTTTTAGACTTTCTAAATTACATAGATCCCAACATCCAATTCACCCTGAATCATTCAATTGATAAGAGGAGCATAGATTTTCTTAACATTACCTTAAGGATTGACAATAATATACAATCTACCTTGTTTCACAAACCAATAAGAAAACCTCTCTTCCTTAACTTCAACTCCCATCATCCCAAAGCTTCCAAGAAAGGTGCAATTATTGGAGAATTAAACAGAATCAATCACAATTATAGTGAAATAAACAATACACACTCCGAACTAAAATCACTTCTTCTGAGCAACGAATATGCATCTTTTTACATCGAACAAATTTTCAAGGACTATGGCATGCAAAAATCTGCATTGAACTTCCAACATGAAAAAACACAGATAAATAAGGGGGGAAAAAACAATTTTCCAAAGATAGCACAAAATATGTTATTTTAATAACACCTCTAATTGGAGTTGCTATCTTCAAGAAAATAAAAACTATAATATAGAAATTTGAACTGCCAATTAAAGTTCTAAAATGGCCAGATCCAACACTAAAAAGCCAACTTTCAAAATCTCAGTACACTGCCATACAATGTTAGAAACCCAACTGTCTTACAAAAACGTGTTTACAATCTAAAGATGAGTGTCTTATCTCCAGTGTTGTTTACCAGCTTACGTGTAACATTTGCCATCATAAGTATATAGGAGAAAATTTTGAATGCAAGTCAACAAAGGTAATGACATGGACTTTTACCCATGACCCATGTCAATAGGGTTAATTCTTGTATAAATAATTAATCTTAGTTTTTCATTTTTGACTGTACTGAAAAACAAACAAACAACAGAGTAAACAACATTACAAGAGTCTAATGAATGAAATATAGAACTATGTGCATTTTTAAATGTTTTATCTTGGTTGTTCTTACTTGACTCTGCTGTGTTAGATGTCATGTTTGATACTGTAGTGGAACATTTTTACTGTCTCAAGGTATGGATAGTTATACTTATGGGTGTTAAAGTAAAAGTTAATGTGGAACCTTAGTATTGATAAAATCTTTATTGCCATTATATACATTAAGGATTTTGTGACAGAGTTTTGTTGTCATTGTCTTTTGTATTACACTAAGGTTTGTTCCTTGTGGTATGTTTTATCCAGAGCTTCAGAAACATTGTACATTAATGCACAGTGCCAAAATATTTAGTAAGTAGATGATTTCCCTCAAAAATGAAACATTTTTATAAAAAATAATATTCCAAATCTTAGTAAATGACAGGCCATACCAAATGATGTTACTTACTAGATATTTTGATTATCATTGCTTATTGGCAAAAAGATCATTTCTTAAAATTTATCACACCATATTTCCTTCACCCCTTTATGTTAACTTAGCATTAAAAAAAATGAGCTAAACACAACACCTTCATAGTATAATGACATAATCTTTGTTGGAACTACTATTTTCTAATTGAGAAACTATTTTAAACACAATACGTAGTTTACAAAGCTTCAGCATTTGTATGTGATGTGGTAACCCAAAGCTCTGTATAATAGTCATTGTTTTATTTATTAAACTTCCTCAAGGTTTGGAGTTTGTGCCCCAAAGATTTTGAACACTTTTCTTTCTCTTCAACATTCTTTTCACCATCTTTATCACAACTGATGATAAACCATCCTTTGTTTTAAATTTTCTGCTTAAGCGTTCATTAAAAAATCTCATTATGAAATTTTATTGCAGAGAGTTTGCATATCCAATATTTAAGTTGTACAATATTTTGTTGAAATATGATTAAAAACTAATAGTAACTCTTAAAATACTAAACTGGCTCACTAAATTCAAATTGGCATACCACAATATTGGTTCAAGCTGACTAATTCTCTTGACTAATTTCCAATAATACTCTTATTCTGTTGAGGTGGTCATGGACTGCTATGCTCAAAAATATCAGGGAAATTGAATTTAAGCAAAAACTGTCAGTGAATTGTTTCAAGGGCTAGTGCAAATCTACAAATATTGGGAGAGAGATGGTAATGCTGATTAGTTTATTTTGACATTTGAAGTCAGTTTGTTTGTCTTTGAAATACTTATATCAGACTTGAATAAAAAATATATGAAACTATTTTGCTTCAACATAGTTTATTTAATATCTGTTATAAATGTATTATATGTCAACCAAGTCTTAAAAGTCTGCAACAAGAAGCATTACAATAGCTATTCATGACCTCATTCCAAACTGGAAAGTTTATATAAGACCATTTGTTCATTTTAGGTACCAATGACTATTCTCTATGAAAATCCCATGCGAGAAGAACCTTCCCCAGAATATCTACAGGAAAAGGAAATCTGCTGTGGATATTTTGAAAAGTGGAATGAACATGATCAGGTAGAATTTGTTGAAATTTTACTCTCCAAGATGTCACACTATCAACACAGTCATGTTAGCTGTTATCTTCGGCCTATGTTGCAAAGAGACTTCATCTCCCTATTACCAAGTAAGTATATAAGACACTAAAATGTAGTGCTTTCACATAATTGAACCAAACTTTCCTGATTATCATGTCTACATACGTGCTACTTAACATGTTACTGTAACCACATAAAAGAAAATACCTGGAATTGAATATCCCATCAGACTTCTCTCTCTCACTAAATATGCTTGCATCTTTTCAAATGATCATGGTGAATGAATAGTCTTGTGTTTTTCAGAATTTGGAGAATTACCAGTATTTCATCTTGGGAAAGAATAAAAATAGTTTCGAAGAGGAAAATCCAAATCATAATAACATTTATCTTGAAAGTTATAAAGAAATTATAGTGGTTTTGCTTGAAATGTTTTTAGAATTCATTGGTGATGATTAGTTGATGATATTTCTAAAATTGCCTAAAAAAAATCCTGTGACTTAATAATTTCAATTAGTGTAATTTGTCATTAGTAGGATGTTCAATGAATGTTTTAAAAAATATGTTTCTAATACAATATCTTACTTCTACTCACAAAAAGTTTTCTCGACTTATACTGCTCTCTATCAGCACAAATTTTCATTTGCCACTAGCTTTGATACTAACATGCAAAAAACTATGCAGCAACCCTTCACTGATTTCGCTCTCCAACTTTAAAATTCTCTCAACATCCAAACATGATACTGAACTTCTAATAAAAGAAATATTACACATAATACGGAGATGAAAGTCTTCCGGATATATCCGGAAATCTGGATATTTCTAAAAAATCCTGAAAACCTCCGTTTTTTTTCCGGAGAAACACATTTTTTAAAATTATTTATCGGATTTTGGTGTTCCATGCCATAGATAAGCGTTTATGCAATCGCGCGGTTTGTTTACATTCGGCGACAGGGCGCCGCCATTTTGTAGTCTCGCAATGCTTGCTGGCGTGTACGAGACCTTGAAGTTTGCATTATAAGCATACTTTTCGAGATAAAATCTCGTTCACATGACATGAAGTTTGCATTATAAGCATACAAGGTCTCGTACACGCCAGCAAGCATTGCGAGACTACAAAATGGCGTGCTTTAGAAAACGCGGTCATTCTTTTGTGTACCTTTCTATTGAGCGAGACAATTGAAGAGCCTTATCTATTCAAAGGTGTTTACCGAAGTGATAATAGATCAAATGAAATGTACAAACAAGTAGACAGGTCGGTGGATATTCGTAGCATAGAAGGAAAGGTAAAGAACAAGTCCAAATGGTCGTGGCTGGAGGAAAAGGATGTAAATGGTGACTTTTCATCCCCCCCCTATAATGGTCACAGTGAAAATCCAAAACATAATCACATAAGATACTACGGAGAGTTCTTAGTTGATAATATATTTTCAATTCTTCACTATGACTCATTACACATAGCTAAATCCCCATGTACACACACACACACACATGTATATATATGCTGAAAAAAAACTAAGTCCTGACCTAAAGAAAATTTGCCAGAATATCCCCATAGGTGCTTGCCTGCTCAAAATTCCCCCTATCAATGGTCACAGTGAAAAACCAAAAACAAATTAAATCAATAAGATACTATGGATAGTTCTTAGTTGATAATATATATTTTAAATTCTTCACTATGACTCAATAAACAGAGCTAATTCCCATGCACATCGATAGCTGCTTTAATTGATTTGCCGTCTTGATCAGTCATGTCATTGAATGATAATTAAGAAATTATTAACGATTTTCTAAAACTCCAGTACAAGAAATGATTATAAACTTTAATAGATCTATAAAGTAAAATTTACTAACCACGTGCATACTGCATATCCTGGCCTGTCCACTTTCCTCACAAAGTCCGTTACCAGATGACTCATATTTGAGCAGGTCATTGCACCTGTTAAAACAAAAAGTAAAATTTGTATTCTCTGACACTTGTTATGTAAATATTTAAAGGTCCAAAAATCCATTTGCTTATTTCTCATTATATATACACACACTGTGTATATAACCGTGAAAAAACTTAAGTCCTGACCTTAAGAAAATTTGAGCAGAATATCCCCATAGGCGCTTGCCTGCTCGAAATAAAGACCTCCTAAGCCATAGTAAGCGTAAGAAGCACATTTAAGCTTGAAGAATAAAGAAGACAAACCAGAATCTTCCTGCAGTTTTCACAATGCAAATGCAATGGAGAAAGGAGCCACGAGTACTACTTGCACAATGCCTTATGGGGTTGCTGAGAATGTTCACAGTGCTGCTTCTTGCTCAGCCAGTCAGATCCCTCTAGCAAAACCGATCATTAGTTTTCTTGATAGGAAATCATATCAAGAGGTTTCTTTATTATCATTCATGGCAGAACATTCCCTACCATTGTCCATGTCTTCACATCTAATAAAATTTGCTCAAGAGTTTTCTTGTGACACAAAAGTCACAAGTGCCATGTCTATGGAATGCATCACAGCATCCTACAAACTCAGAGAAGGTTTAGGGACAGTTCTCCACAAGAGGTTGGTGTCAGATCTTCAGAAATATCCCTTTTTGATGAACATTGACGAGTGCACAAGTTCTAACAATCAGAAGGTGCTCAGTATTCTAGTGAGCTATTGTAGTGATGAAGCTGGTGAATGTGTGGCCAAGCATTACAACTCTACATCTTTGATCAGCGTAAATGCTAAGAACCTCCACAAGTGCATTGACGATTACTTTGTCAAAGATGATATTCCACACAAGAATGTAGTATCAATGCTCTCTGATTCTGCCAATTACATGAGAGGGAAAGTGAGTGGTTTGGAGACACTTTTGAGGAAGAACATACCACACTTGCTTGACATCGATGGTGACACATGTCACTATATTCATAATTCTGTTAGGATTTTTTGTAAACAGTTTGGTCAGCATGCAGAGCATCTCATTGATGATCTCCACACAGACTTCAAGTATAGTACAGATCTGTTGTTTTATCTAAAAGACTTATGTGCTATACTTGGTAAGCCATTTCACAAGCCTCCACAGAGGATTGCACATCGGTGGCTATCAGCCTACGACACGGCCAATACAGACATCGAAATGATGGATGCATTCACCACAATGTACTTTGCCTGGTTACCTGTAGATATGAAGTCAACATACGATGTGTATGTGAACTCTATAATCAGTGACTTGTGAGCAGAGATGAAGAATAAGGTGAAGAGAATTCAGCATCTTTGCCAGCAGAAGGGGTTGACAGATGATGGAAAGAAAAGGAAACTGAGAATTGTTGAGAAGATTTTCTATCAAAGAGAGTGGACTCTAGGACTGTTGAACATGTATGTGTCAGTTTTACCTTTGTTCAAATCGTTTGTGTTGATTTTTTGAACAGAATGAGCCATTGTGCCATCGTCTGCACGACAAACAGGCAAGCCTTTTCCGTGACTTTCTTGCCTGTTTCATCAAACAGCCGCACCTCACTGATGTGTCAGCTAGAAGATTGAAGGAGTTAGATGTTAGCAACAGCCACCTCCACCACTCATCATCAAACATATATGTTGGGAACACTGTTGATGAGATGCTGCAGAACTCTGACAAACACAGCAATCTGTCTAAGAAATTTCTCCCACAGATGAAAGATGCGTACATGGCTGCAGCGGGTTACATGCAGAAGAAACTGCCACTGAACAATGTACTGCTGAAATGCCTTTCAGCCATCGACCCAAAGGCACAGGGACATTCCCTTACAGCTACACATCTTAAGAAGCTGAAGGAGTTTTTACCAACAGTTCTAAGTGATGTAGAAAAGGATCCGTATTAGAGAGAAGTCTCAAGAATACAGACAGATCCAACCCTACCTGGGATAAATGACAGCACCCGACTGGATCACTAGAACAGTCATTTAGCATTATGAATGACCTCATTGATGCTTAATCAAACAGGATGGCTGTGCAGACATATTCTTCATTTCGGAGTGTGAAATATGATTTAAAAGCATAGAACACTAACAGCCTTGGTCATTACCATAGG